CGGAGCTGGATACAAGTATCAATGATAGGAGTGTGCATTTGAAAATGGCCAGTATGTCTGAAGCTAAAGATACACAGTGGCCTGACGTGATCAAGTGCAGATATTATGATGTGTAGTAAGTATATTTTGCATACTTATAGTTATTACAAGCTAATGCGATTTTTTTAAATGCAAATACTAGTCAGAATAAAACTGACAGAAGAAATGTAAACAAAGAGTTATAATAAGAAGATTGACTGAATAAAGCAGGTTATAATGATGCTATTATGTTAAATGTGTAACATTGTATTATACCACATTAAGGCACATTATTGTGTTTATAGTTTCCTCTAAATTGTTTGAGGAAGTGGTCATTAAAAAACAGACTTATCATCATTAAAGTGGTCATCATTAGACTTAACATCATCATCAGACTTATCATTATGAATAATTAGCTATGCTACTAATATAAGTATTGCGAAAGTTTATATGTTTATTAGTTTCTTACTCCTACACGTCAAAAAGCCTGAAGGCATGGGAATGAAATTTAGAACAGGGGTAGATTATGGTCTGGATCAGGGCTATCCAAACTAAGGCCTGTGGGCCGCATACAGCCCCCAGCTTATATCATGTGGCCCGCGACACACATTTTAATCTTAACATCTTTATCTTTATGCAACAACAAGTAAGTTTTGTCTGTGAATAAAAAATACAATGCAAAATGTCATTTATACAACTGAAAACATTTTTCTGGCCCTCCAGCTTTTGTAAGCAATTTAATTAGCCTGCGAGGGTATATTGTTTGGACAGCCCTGGTCTGGATTAATACAGACTTCATTTTATCTCATGGTAACTCAAGTAAAGATGCTGGCAGAAGCTAGTTTTGTTATAAATGCAGTAAAGTATGTAACATACTGTTATTTATAATCTTGTTAGGTTTGTGAAACATTTCTGACCATTATTTCTGTTCAATTTTAGCTACAACATAACTAAGCACTCGGAGAAGTTAGAGCAGCTAGCATTGCGTTATGGAGAGAGATATGTTGGTGCAGAGACTGATACAAGTGTCAACATCCACTCCGGAGGCATGCAATCACCCACTAGTGCTTCGAAGAGGAAGGCGCTGAGGCTCAAGTATGTATAGCAATATTATATCAAATACAAATTAAAATATGATATTACTGTGTGTCAGTACGTTGCGATTGTGCACACTATAAGTATAGGTGTAATATTACTTAACTATACTTTTGCGCGCTGTGTTCCACGGCAAATCATGCTGTACTTAAACATTTTATTCAACATCTTGTTACCTACCATGTTTTGTGTAAAAACATAAATAAAAAAAAAATAAAAAAAGATATATGCCAGGTAGAAATTACAATCCACCTTTTTAACTTACTACTTTACAGAAATCAGTATTGTCTTATTTTAAAGTTTGATGATAAACAACATGTTATGTATTATTTTCTATTCCAAAGATAAATAATAAATTAAACATTTTTAGTCCAGTTATGTATGTATTAAGAAGCTCACATAGATCATATTATTATATAAATAGAACGGAAGAGATAAAATCTAACTCCAAAAGTATTTTGTTCTTAATTGGAATAGAATTGTAAAAAATATGCTTATCTAAGTTGTCTACTTAAGGCAATATAGAGGTCTATATTATCTAATCAGCATTAGTCAATGACCTAATTACTTAATGTTTTCAAATCAGCATTCATCTTCAAAATGCATATTTTTAACTTTATAAGTGACATTTGGTTACTAAGCATTAGCAAGAAATTAGCCCTGACATAAATTGTAACAGTATTGTATTGATATAATATTTGTTATTTTAGCAAATTAACGCCCGAATACTGAAATGCAATTTCAAGTTGTATTTAACTGCTTGAATGCACCGATATGAGACACAATAGATAATACATTGTGTCTCGCGTGGATCCACGTCTTAGACACACGAAAGGTTAAATATCGTGCCATCTCTGTCATTTTACAAAGAATTTGTAGTGACAGAACTATAAGCGTGACTTATAATTGAGTGGCCTTTGAGTATTTCAGCGTAAGACATGTTGGTACATAAATAATGCTTGGCTTCACTTTTTTTTTATTGGTTTCTTGATTCGAAGGGTCACTAAGTTACTATTAGATACTAAATAGAGTAGAAGTTGTGATAAGTTTTTACTTGTAATAGCATTCAGACTGCAATTCAAGTCTTACATTTAATAGGTGCACGTCTTTCGCTGTTGTAACTTGTTTATAAATGATCATGAACATAATTTTTCATTTGATACAGTATTTCCTGAGTTGAGTTAGTTCCTGATTTTGTTTTTCCAAACAAAATCTTGGGCTATAAAAATATTACAGAAATGTAATAGCACATTTTGTACCCAGGATGGCTCAATGCAAGTCCCCGGGCCGCCGACTGTCGCACCTGGCGCGTCGGAGACAGGCGTTCGCCAGCGCAGCCACCATCAACGAGAAGGCACAGGCATCCACCGCCAAAATGGTGCTCATCGATAAAAAGTAAGTGTGCTTTGCATATGCAATTATTTCACAAAAATAAATTAGTGAAATTATAATGTCACTTAAAATGATCTAACAGGCGCATTAGACTTTTTTTCAAAGACTGCAGTACTAAAATTGCTTTAATTATATTATATTTTGAATAAATGTTTCAAGTTACGATTATATCACAAATACTGACATAGACTTTTTTCCAAAAGTTTCTTCCCGCACAGGAAGCTGATCAACTCGTCAGAAAGGAAGAGTCCGCGCACAAGGCGTACGCCGGGCAAGAAAACACCAATCCGTAAGACTCCGGGCAAGAAAACTCCAGCAAAGACTCCTAAGACACGCAGCGGCGGTTCCAGCAGGAAAAAGGCTATGAGAAGACTACTCATGGATTCCGACCATCTGACCAGATCACAACCAGCAAGAGAGACATTAAAAAGGGCTCTGTTCAGTCCGGAAAATAGGAAACCCGTTCCTCCAGCACCATCATCCTCAGTGCCAGCTCAAGCAATGAAGTCCAAACGAGCTCTATTCGGCTCACCGATCCGCCCAGCCGAGACAAAGAGTATGGATGGCACACAGAGTGATCAGTTCCTAAAGAGAAAGCGCGACCCGTTCGATGATGACAATGACAATGGAAGGAGTAAGATAGCAAAGAGTTTGTCGTTTGGCGGTGATACGATTGGGAGCTCAGATTCGCATAATTTTGCTCGACGAGCTTCGGAAGCATTTACTACGAGGCAGACTAGTGATTTGAATGAGACTCACAAAAAGGTTGGTTATATTTCGCTATCTTTATGTCTAGTGCTTAGAGTTATACCATCACCAGTTTGTTTCATGAACTTGATAATTTTATTACTATTGATAACATTTAAGACTAAAAATCCCTAAACCTTATCCTAGTCGCGGAGAACCTAACGGGTAATCGGAGCTCCGGCTCGACGTGCAGAAGGAACGGGGTCGTTTTTAGTCAGTAAGCGTTTGACATTCCCTCCCGCCTTACCCAGGCGGGAGCCGTCATTCGATGATATTCCCGCCTTAAAAAAAATCCTAAGTGTAACAAACCTTTGCTGAAAACCGCATCCAAATCGGTTCAGCCAATCGTGAGATAATCGCGCCACATACACACATGCAGGTTAAACTGAGAACCTCTTTTTTCGGTTAAAAACGACAATCTTACTGATTTTAATATTGTCTTTTTCAGAAACTATTATGGGCTGTCTCCGAGGCTCTTCGTGTTCATGGTTGGCGTATGTCTTCACCTGGGTTCCGTGAGAAGGCGTCATCACTGGCACGACTCACGCGCCGGTTACTTGCGCTCCCCCCGCACGCTGCTAAACTCGCTGCGCCAAAGTTGTCCACTTCTGAAGTTATGCTCAAGTGAGTACCAGATTAATTTTAATTGTAGTAAAAAGAAATAAATATATTTATTTAATATCTTAAGATTTTTAGCATATCCTTCCATAATATTTTTTTTTACCTAACTATAGGTATATCATTTACTCTGTCTCATGAAAAAATATTGTGTCCATGCCCTAATTTCAAACTTCAACATTGTTACAGGATTGCTCGTCAGTACGTGTTCGCAATCATACAAGGGCGCTCCGTCGACGAGTGTTTCCAAGAGGAACAAATGAAACTCGCTAACGAAGCCAACAACAAAGTAACAGGCTATATTTCAGCCTCCGCTTATCAACAGATGAAAGCTCGGCAGATGATCCCCAGCACATCAACCTCACAGATCAAGGAGAACACCCATAGTGGAATTAAACAGGATCAACCAAAAAGTGGCTCCAAAAATATCCTTCAAGACAAACTAGTTAATATAGACAGTAATTCCAATAGCAGCAGTGGTCTTAGCATGCTCGACAAGTCCAATTTAGGGTTCTTCAAGTCCAATTCCATGCCTTCATTCGAAGAAGCAGCTAAAATGAGAGCGCGCCGACAAATTAGTTTCGATAATATCGACTTCCCGAAGAGATGAACTGCATGAAACAGCAAAAACTATTAACATTATGTACATATTATTATTAGTGACTAGTTTAAGTTTAAGTCGACTTCATCAAGATTTAGTAAAACTTATTATTCTTATGACTTCTCGATTATAGAAAGATTTTTAGTAATTTTTGAACCAATCGCTATAATTATAATTAGCAATATTTAGTCAATCTCATCTTAGATACTTCCTTTACAAAAGGTTGACTACGATGTATTGTTATGTCTCATATATTTATTTCGTTTTGCTTGATTAGCGACTAGTAGCCCATAAAACGACGTCTTCTTGGATGAGGACATTAGCAAATTGTAGAATGAAGCATGATATTGCTGTATTTGTATTGCATTGACTTTCGTGTATGTATGTGTTACAATTGCTGAGTTTGATCTCGGGTGTTAATATAAAATAATAAATTATTTTTCCTTGATAAACTTGCAGTTTTATTTGAACAGTCGCCGACAGACGACGCGGCGTCACTGTATTGCAATAACCTTACTATCGAAAGTAATCTCTTGTAATTATTGTGAATAGGAACTAATGATTAGATATTTTTATATTGTCTGATTGCGTTTGTTATTGTATACAAGGATTTGCAATCAACGAATTGAGTGGTGCCTAGTGATTGCGCATATTACTGAACGGATTTACTTGATAAAACAATGGGAAGCACACAGTCGTTTCCTGGGTTGACAGAGGATGTGCTTGAGGACTACACATCTCTCACTTATTTGACAAAAGGAGAAATCCTATAGTAAGTAATTAGAGATAACATTTATTTATTTAGCTCAATATTTCTTTAGTAAACAGTAAAAATAAAACATGTTTCAGTTTGATGAAAGAGTTTTATTCTATTGATCCAGAAAAAGTACAAGAGGATTTCCATCACAGATTTAGTAAGGAAGAAATATTGACCAAATTCCACGTGTTACAGGTAGCAAACATTTAATGTAAAACATTATAAGCTTGTAAGCACTATGTTATAGTCATAATGAAAGTTTTAATTTAATTTTCAGAACAATCCGTTTTTAGACAGGATATTCAGTGTGTTTTCCTCTAAAGGTGATGACTGTTTCTCTTTTGAAGACTTAGTGGATCTATGTTCGGCCATGAGTTTTGAATGCCCCGCTGATGTCAAAGCCGCTTGGGCCTTTAGGATATTTGGTAAATGTTTTTTAATTTGTAGTAGTAGAATCTCCTATTTTAGTCCACTGACAGATTGAGTCTGAAAGCAAATATATAATAATAATGTAATAGTAAATTTAATTTTGCGAATTTTATTACCTGTTATTACCATTATATTAAAAAATAATTTAGATTTTTACTAAACCGAGAGTATTGAAACGTGGAGAGATAGAAAGGGTGTAAGGAAATATACGACAGAAAAAGCGTTTCGTGATCTGGTGACATCTGAATGGGAAGAAGGGTGGAATAAAACACATTATTGCGCCTCCTCCTATAATAAATATAAGAAATAAAATAGGTACCCATTTAAGTCAGTTTATACTTTCGCAGATCTTGATGATGATGGCCAGATTACTGCTAAGGATATCGGTCATATCATAGACCGTTTGACTTTAGGCGTCACTGATAACCGCGACCATTACATCGATGAAACATCTAAGGATAAAATTGCTAAAGGTGTGAGTAACTGAGTACTTATTTATTTAGTACGATACAACTTTTTTCTTTTAATTTTTAAAATGCCGCGTCTTGTTTTTTCTTTTATAGCATAAGCCATAAGCTGGTAAACTAGTAGACGAATCGCCTGATGGTAAGCAATCGGCGCCGCCCATGGACACCCGAAACACCAAGGCGTTACAAGTGCGTTACCGGCCTTGGGAATTGGGAATTTGAGGATTGTGGAGGATTCGGGGATTCGGAAGACTAGGGAGGCCCAATTACCCCCCGAAATACAACGCAAGCGTTGTTTTACGTCGGTTTTCTGTGAGGCCGTGGTATCACTCCGGTCGAGCCGGCCCATTTGTGGCGAAGCATGGCTCTCCCACACTTTGAAAGTGTTGTCGTCTTTGTTTTTTTTGTTTGCCAAGTTAGCCGAGCTTAAGTCGCGTTAGTTAAGTAGTTGCAAATGTGATGGTGGAGCAATGGGTCTCAGTTTACGTCTCGAGTTGGGCTGGGTAAGAGTTTGAAATAGATCTCAACCCTTATTTCATAACGGGTGAAAAGAGGGTACTACTTTTAGGTACCTATATGCATCTCTGTTGCCGTCTGGAGCTTTCTAACTTAACAGTATATAATTAATAATGTTATACCTTTTACAGATTCTGGATGAAATAAATTTTGATAAGAGTGGAGGTATCGGACAGCAAGAATTCAAGCTTATTATGTCTAGAATACCTGAGTTTGCAACATCTTTTTATTTTAGACTCTAACGCCCGTATACTGAAAGGCTATTCAAATTTTAAGCTGTACCTAGGCTTAAATATCGTGCCACCACCGTCATTTTACAAAGAATTTGTAATGACAGACAGACTGACAGAACTATACTTAGGCGCGTCTTAAAATTGAGTGGCTTTTGAGTATTTCGACGTAAGCTATGTTTTTATCTATAAAAGTATTATTTAATAAAGACTTCGATCCTTTTTTTTCTTTACCTTATAAATATTAATTTAATTTTATCTGACGAAAGCTTTGCAAGCAGCTTTGTTGTAGCGTCCGGCGAGTGTTCGGTCAGGTAGGGCCGGAATGCCGGATGTCCGGCCAACGTTATTAGGAAGCACAACTGGCTGCTTATACTTCACATGGTACATCGGGAATGATAGGTAGACCCTGGAAAAATATAATATCATAAAGAATTAAAAAATAGACAGTTTTTATTTACCCACTAACTACCATTAATAGCAATAATGATTTGCCTAATGGTAAACTGACATTAATGGCATTATTAGTGGAAAAATTTCACTACTTCGGTGGTCCAGTAATTACACGAGCAGGGCAACGTGTTTAGTTCGATGTTTACAAATATTCTCGATAGGTACCTAGTACCTACTACCGAAAACTATCATTTTCCCTAGAATGATGGTTCAGCTCCTCATTACCTATGAAATTAAGCTACCATATTATGGAACAGACAAGCCATTTAATATGTGCACTAGCGGTGCCTCATTCTACCACTTCGGCGAGCAAATGATGAATGTTGATGTCTATTTCTTAAATTTTACTCACGGGGTCATTTCTTGAGGACATTGCCACATATATTCCGGATCCCTGAAGTATAACAAAGGATGGTTGGCCTTTGGATAATATCTATAGTAGTCCCTGTGCCGTTGAGCAGCCTGTATAGATAAAGAACTTAAGTCTATTTTATTGCGGCACTATGGCCATGACTAGTCCTGCGAAGTGTTTACAGAGGTTTCTCTGTCTGGTGTTTACCAGAACAAACACGAGGGGTTCATTTGGTCGTCCATAACCGTTTACGTATTCAAGTTGACACCAAGACAATTACTACAGAAAAGATAAATACTATGAAATACCCCCCAAATAACTGTATACATTTTGTTAAAGATAAAGAAATTTATTTGCGTAAAAACATGGTATACAAAGATGTTATAGTTACAATATAGATATAGATCATGTTTTGCTTAATAAATAAAGCATACAAATTTTAACTTATAACTTATTTTAACTCGCTTACACTCGTAGTTATAAGTTATAATTATATTATTATTATTTTTTTTTTATAATTATATTATATTATTATTATTATTTATGTTCAAAATGTTTGATTATGTAAATTGGTCAAAGGTCGTAGGACCACGGTATCCAAATGAGTTCTAAGGGTTAATATATTGTTTTCATAGTCCATTGACACACACGTTGTTACTCACCTCGTAAAATGTCTCGATTTCATCTTGTCTCGCATTATCTACAAATAATATATTATCCATTTCTATGTCACTGTAATTTTGATACTACCTAGGTACTCACTTGTTAAAATTTTATTATGCGAGAATCATTATTAGTTTTTATGGCAAAATTCAAATTTCCCCCTATGCCTTTGCGTGATCCTGATTTGACAGCCGGATTCAAAATAAATATGTCATTGTCAAAGTCAAATCAATATCTATTTCTTTTTTTAATAGATTGCGGCCTTTTGTTAACATTAATTAATAATATTACGAGGGCAAGAAGTAAGAAGGCATTCTAGGGTCGAAAAACTTGAATCATGGGGTCCCAGTGCCCATTCTGTGTATAAAGTAATCGCCCGTAGGCCATTCAACGTGGCAATGCTGCCAGTCGTCTGGGAACGTTCCTTCCCCTAACCCTTATTATACTCTTTGAACGTTACCCGGTGACACTGATGCGAAGTGGCTTTTATATATTATTTTCTTTTGATTCACAGGTTTGGTTGTAGTAATTTTAAGTTGCTAAATCGCAAGAAGTTAAATATCGTTTGCAAAGAAAATATTTAATTTATTTCATCATTATGAGATATTTTAATTCATGTTTGAGATCATAACAACGTTTTCAACTAGTCATTGCTTATTCTTTCTTCCGTATTTTTAATACTTGAAAGCAAGGCAAGCACTTTTGTTGTAGCGTCCAGCTAATGTTCTTTCAGGTAGCGATGGAAATACTGAGGTTCTTTCCAGAGTTACTGGCAATACAGCGGGCTGTTTATACTTTACATGGTAAGGCGGGAAATCTAGGTATACGCTGCAAATTAGCAAAACAATAAGAACATTTATAATGAATATAAAAACAGAAAAATCATAAATTATACATGAATGTCGTGTATCACTTACTGAGACATTTCTTGCGGACACTGCCACATATATTCAGGTTCTCTAAAGAAGGCTAGTGGATGATAAGAACGAGGGTATCCTCTATAATAATCACGATGCATTTGACAAACCTGAAAAAAAGTACATCGATTCTTGGAAAAAGATTTCGTTTAACATACTACTTTATTATTAAAAGATGCACTAGAAGTCTGAAGTAATAAATACCGTGTAGAATTTATCTATTTCTTCTTGGCGTAAAGGATCAGAAAATAAAACATATTTAACCATGATGATACTATTTTCGTATAAATTGTCAAAAAGTCAATCAAAAAATTTTATTCAATTTGTTTCAATTCAAGCAGTAGCAATAAAGCGGTCTTATTTAAAAATATGTCAAACGTAGGCTATATGTATGGCAAGGTCTATGGTGAGATAAAAAACCATAGACGAGAAACAACGAATGGGACGTCTTTACGTCAAAATGGTGTGTCATTTTTAATCTGTGCAACGTAGTAGTAATAAACGTCAAAACAAAATCCCAAAATTTTGTTCTACTATTTTTAATTCTTTTGATATTTACTCGGGATTTGTTAGTTTTATTGTAAATTCAACTAAGCTGTGATTATGAGATGTGTATAATATTTGTTTGTGATAATTGGATATCAATTCGCAGCGGCCACTTTGTTATTTTGGGTGAACTATTTTTGTCCGCTCTAGTTTCGGTGCATTGGAATAAATTTTGACATCCAGGAAAAGAATGTTCTTCCTGTACAGTAAGTTCGTTAGACCCTAATATGCTTGATAGGTAACAGCTGTAGACTAGAATTAGGTTAAATGTGGTATGAATCGCACATTGACTTGTCGCGTGGGAGTATGATCATTAGCATTATTTTTTTGCTAGAACGTCGCTTTTATAGATTCTTTTATTCATGCGTTAATTATTGCTCTTATCTTTTCTAATTCACACACTATATTTCATCTGTAATTGAGTTCTAGTTGGCTAAGTATGAGCTAGTGAGATAGTAAATATTTATACTTATATTAATTGAAATCCTGATCAGATCACAAGTATATTTTTATCAGAGAGAATTTTATTTGTTTTATTTTAAGTACTTCTAGCTTGCACTAGACTATAAGCAGTACTTAATTGATGATAAAGTATCAAATTACAACAATATGAAATTATCTGTAGATGTTTGTGCATAACAAATAAAAATAATATTTTTGATTCAGGGTCATTCACCTTGTTTAACAAACTCAATTTGAGGTTGTTGTACATTAAAACTATCAAATTTTTATCTACCTACTAGCTAATTCAACTATTTCAATACAGATTATTGCACAAATCAGACACCTGTCTACTTTAAATAAATTTTAAAGAATAGTACAAAATACAATTTTAATAAAGCAGATCAAAATAGACAAATTTTATTTATCAGTTTCATCAATACTAACAACCCGTTTCACAGTGTCTAATTAAGTTACTGTTAGCGCAACAAGCATATTTGCTATTTAAAAATACTTCAAATAATTCTCCAACATTAATGTAACAAAACTTAATTGGATATATTTGATGCCCTAAGTCAAATATACAATACATAAGTTTATCTGGTTAGTAGCATAAATAGTATATGAGTCACTGTCTACACACCACATTATGTATGTGTATACCTACTATCTAACACTTATCTTATCAGTAATTTTATTTGTTGCTAGCAAATAGACTGCCTATTCTTATCACACCTGCATTATCAGACCATCAACCGATAGTAATTTGACATGTTGGAAATAATAAAACAAATAGACATTTTAAGGTTTTATTGTATTTTTTAATTTTGATATAGTTTTTAGTTTTAATATAAGTATTATTTAAACTGTCAAACACCAAGCGGTCACCGGTGACCGCAACCTATTGTTCTATAATTGTGTCTATAATGACGGTACTCGACGAGTTAATGAAGCATGCTTTAAAAACAAATGTCAAACATTAGGCTGATTGGATTATTTACAAACTGAAGTTTAAGAAAAATTTCAGTTTTTCTATTATATTCCATTTGAAAAGAAAGTCATACAATCAATCCACATATAACATTATGAGCTGGAGTAGTGACAAGACTGGCTGCCAAGCATAAGAATTCAGGGTTAACTTCCAGCTGTAACATCAGCAACATACTCTTGCTGGTGTCCTCGGCATACTGAAGCAACAGTCAAGGGCCACCTACAGGTGACCCGAAAGCTGTGTTGCTAATGCCAGCGAAAAAAAATAAAATATTTTTATTATAATGGAACTACCTAATCCTTATGAAAAAAATAATATTTAACTTATCATTTATAATATATCTTGTATATAATGAATATAATAACTGGTTATGTATAAACTATGTCATTGTACAATATTCATAGATTTGAAGTCCAAACATTATCAATATGAAAAAATCCTTGGAACCTCTGGCTAACAAATTATTTATTTAATTTGCAGTGCCTCTCAAACAGTTCAAAGTCCGAAACGATGACAAATCATCCACATGACATTAAAAAATAATCTGAAACATTAATAGAGGATCAATCAGTATCAAGTAACACAACTAATTCGTGTTTTGTCATTGATGAATGGAGTATTGATGTATTTGTTGAACAATACTTGCATGACTCATTCTGAATTGTGCTCTTTACTCCTCAATAGCTGATTGACTGCTCTCTCTGCAAAGCTTTGTATCTATTAGAGCATGTACCTTTTGTTCAACAAAACAATAGTTTGTCACCAATTGTGTTATGTAACCAATGGTTTGCAATTACATTATACAACTTAAAAATTTTGTACATATTTGACTTGATTTAATTTATATTATGCAGGTCTAGTTCACTATACATATCAGCAGAGAATTTTGTTTTTAGCTAACTAGGCGTGTATTTCTTCGGGCACAGTGTTGGAAGTGTGTTTTGCTATATATTATGCCAAATGTTTTTTGTGAGGTCCTGTTTAAAGTTATGCCCAAAAAGCGCCGATGGCGATGAGTCAGGGCTTTTTTGACGTTTAATCCACTTCTGAATATACCCTAAAACATACATCACAATAGTTTAATGCACTGTAATAAGGAAAAAGGAAATATCGCCGCAATGACGCTGACTCATTTCTATTGCCCTAAACCCTTGCCATTGGAATTTGAACTCTATTGTGACAAGGTCAAAGTAACAAATAGTTACTGCAACTTTATGTCGTGCGTCAAGGAGGTTTTATTCATAATGCATCAAATTAAAAATGCGTAATAAGAACTCTTTGATTGAATTCTTTGTTTGATAACAATGTTGGTTGTCATGGATACCAGTCGCTTCTATTTGTTGATAATGTAATGTGGCGTTGTTTATCAATTGTCAATAATAGTGTTTACAATGTTGTGATTGTGTTTGTACAGCTCAAAAGCAGACTCTTGAACAGATGTTAGTGGAAAATTCCTTAATTCATGTTAAGGGTGTCCATTTTAAATGACTTTTTGTTTGTAGGTACCACCATATACTTAAACTTTCTCTAATTCTTTAATGATTACTAGCTATGCTAGTTGTATCAAATCAAGCCTATTGTTTGTAACCTATTGTTTCACGATTTCGCTTAATTTTTGCGTTGTTTTTACAAACACGCTATATGACGCTTGAATTAACATTTTCATCTCAACAACTATGTTGTTTCTCATCCCACCATCCCAGTTTCGTAAATGATATTAGAATCGATTAATGATAAACATAATGTCCTTCTTGCATTACACAGTTTAGTAAAAAGAGCTATTAACTACCCACATACCATTTTTTATATTTGATGGGCCGACGTTTGACTACTATCTCGCCTGGTAGTAAGCAATGATGCTATCTTAGGTACTTACACGGCAGTCGCGGAGAACCTAACGGGTAACCGGGGCTCCGGCTCGACGTGCAGGAGAAGGAACGGGGTGGTTTTTAGTCAGTAAGAGTCTGACACTCCCTCCCGCCTCACCCAGGCGGGAGCAGTCATTCGATGATTTTCCCCCCTTAAAAAAAAGGTACTTACACGGCTTGAACTAATACAAGTTATACCTATTAAATGAAAAAACTGGATAATAACTCCTTAGTATTTAAAAGCCGTTTATTATCAGCGTATCTATTTCCGAGTCTATTTAAATAGTGCGCTAACCGAGAGATATGTAGGTTAAACTAAACCAGTCATTCGTTTTGAATGATTTAGTACTCGCGTTTTAACGTACCTGCTGTAGCTCAGTTATTGTGCCAAGTCTAATATTCAAACAATAGACAGATGTATTGGTTTGTCACACAGGCTTACAATAAATAACAATATTAGTTACTCATAATAATTAAAGATGAATACTTAAACTCTATTAGATCTATTATGATAAATGTTGGTTCTTTCATACAATGTAAGCCTAAAGCAAATTTTTCGAGGGGAGAAAATCATCCAATGTCTTCTGCCCCCCTTGGGTGAAGCGAACGCGAGTGTCAGACTCTTACTGGCTAACCACCCCGTTCCTTCGAACTGCAGCCTCGGTAACCCGTTAGGTTGTCCGCAGCTCCGGAAGCCTGGAGCCTAAAGATGACCTCACTTAAAGGATAATTCCAGAAAATCTCAAAACCCTCGATTCTCCCCGACAAATTCCCCACCTCGAGCATTGAATCAAAGACTCCTAGCTTAGTACCTAGTTAGTCCCGCTTGCGAAATAGTTGCGCTTGTAAAATTTTGTAATTGTTCCTCTTTCAGTTGACCCCTGACCAGTATCATTGTGATGGTGATGTCGTGCTCTGGTATGGGCGACGCGGTGCTTCGTGAGCGGCTGCCGGCCTTGTGGCGCCGCATCGAGGATGCTCACTACAGCTACCTCGAGACCGACGACAGCCCCGAGAAACTTGACCAGAAGAAGAAGCTTGAAGGTAATTTTATAGTAATTTTACAGTTGAAATCTATAGTCGCTTCTAGTGAAGGTCCTCGCAATATTAGACGAGTTAAGGGCGTTACCGTTGTGTCGATATAACTTTGTAATTCATTACATAACATTACGCCTTTTATGCCCGAAGGGGTAGGCAGATGTGCACATTACGGCACTTAATGTCACTATACAATATAACACCTACTTTTCACTATATGTGTTATGAGTCCCATGTACTAGGGGGTGAGCCGATTGCCATATACCGGGCGCAATTCCGGATTCCGTTCTACTAAGTACTGAGAATTTTAAATAATTACTAATTCTTTGCCCAACCCAGTAATCGAACCCTAGACGTCCGGCAGTACCACTTGCGACCTAACTATCGGGCAACGAGGCAGTCATGTTTTAAAATTTATGATTCAGTATTTTAAATAATGACTTGATTGAGTACACTTCTAAACTATACCTAGTAAATACTAAATTATTTAATTACATTTTGAATATCAGCCAGTCTTGCTATATAAGTATAAAAACAAGCGTTGTTACAATAGGTTACTTCATTTGTTTGTTTTTTCCAGATTACATAATAGAATACCTATCATTAGTGCCTCATGAGTGCAAGTTTGGGCTCGCGGAGACTGGGAAAGTGTTCCAGAAGACGATCAATGAACTGACAGAGTTTAGTGCGTATCGAGCTGGTCTAGGATGGGCAGCACTCGCCAGATACGCTGCCAACCTGTTAGCTCAACCCTGGAGGAAGGAGTACAAAGTCATCAGGGTAAGTAGAAATGACTATAGAAAAATAGATTTAATTTTTTAGGTGTGGGAGAGTCATGTTTCGGCACGAATGGGCCGGCTCGACCGGAGTGATACCACGGCCTCACAGAAAACCGACATGAAGCAACGCTTGCGTTGTGTTTCGTCGTGTTTGTGAGGTTACCGGAGGCCCAACCCCCCCCATTTTTGTCAAAAAATGGCAGCCTTTTAACACCTAATCGCGGGATGATCCCGTACCTATTTGATTTTCTTTTAACCTATTTATTATTATTATTTTATTTTTTAGTTATACTGCGGATATTTCAAGCACGAAGTTGAAGCGAATATGGTTGGAGCAGAGACCCTGCTGCAGGCTATGGGCTACAAACCTTCAGGGGCAGGTCAAATGGAGCTGGACGGTCCAATATGCCCTGACATGGTTGCTGCAGTGTCCAGGGACGCTCTTATAGCCCAGTGTGAATGTCAGGTATGTGGACTCCATATAACATTTTTGCACAACTTATGAACGAAAATAAAAACAAGCTAACTTCCCGAAAAGGAAGGAAGTTTTAAACCTTACCTCTTAGTTAATTAAGAGTACTTTTCAATTGACTATTTTCATTTGTTAAATACATTTTTTATATGCAATTTGTGCTAAGGTTGTTTACCTTTAGTTAATCATATAAAACTAGGGAGGTTTAACAATGATATTCTATTTATTGTTATGTAGACAGAGATAATAACTAGACTTAATTATAATAATAATGTTTTATTTATATTAGGCAGATGATTCAGCTAGCCATTGAAATTTCAAATACCATTATCTATACTTGTCATTGTTTTCTGTGAATGACTTAAAATAAAAGAAAAATTTGAAAACATGAGACATTTTTCGCGAATTGTTTTTTTTTGTCCTAATAGTTCATTACCAAACGTCGAGTTTAGTAGTCTGTAATATTACGGATAGTTCAAAAATGGAAGCACCTTTATCCTCGGGTCAAGAAACGGTATTGCCGTCTCAATTTGATATAGCTAGCATTTTTCTCAAAGTTGAGCTATACATAACTTTATTTCAAGAAACAATATAGTTGGCCCTTTGAGTTTTGTGATTAGCCAGCAGGATAATGCTTTATCTGAATAAAGAGTTGAAAAAGATGTGGACTTGTCAAGTTTTTTTCATCGTCAGTTAGAACCATAATAGTGGCAATTGTGATCGTAATGTTGTGTTTGTGGTTACTGTGATAGTTACTGTGTGCAGATAATGGCGCACATATGGGAGGAGGCGTGGTCGCTGGGCGGGCGCGTGTCGTGGCGCGACGTGTGGCGCGAGCGCGCCGCGCACGCCGCGCCGCCCCGCGCCGCCGCCGCGCGCCTCGCGGCCGCCCGGCTTGGGACCGTCGACCGGAACACCAACCCAGCTTACACTGACAGTTAGTACCTTTGGAATTAATTGGATACTTGCCAACTAGTCAAATTCAATATTTTTTCGAACTGTCAAAAACGAGAGTTTTCTATGAATTTTGTACGAGATTGTGTATTGTGACGTCACGTTTTTTAGCGTCAAACAGTGTACTTATTTCTTAAAAAAATACTGAAAAAATACTCAAACTAAGTTAGCCATAAAATCAATCAATATGTATGACTACTTTTTAATATTTTATTGTATTGAACAGTTGAAATAATTTAAATTTAATTAAGGCAAGTATCCAATTATATTTTGATTGAAGAAATGCTGTAATTCATTGGCTCAATCAATTCTTTCTTGGCGTTCCAGGTGCAGAAATATATTCGAACATCCCAACAACGGTAACGGACAGCTACCGAAGCCGAGTGGTAGACGAGCGGTACCACGGCGGCCAGCACTGCACCCACCTGTGTGAGGAGGTGGAGCAGGAGTCCCCGGGCATGATGGCGTGCCCCCCGTACATGGTGCCGCCCATGCTCCCGCACATGATGTACCCCGTCCCCCCACACATGCACCCCGACGTGCCCGTCACGGTGCCGCAGTGTAGCACCATACCCATGATGACCCCCTACGGAGTCCCCTACTACTACCCCGTACAGTCCCCCTACATGCTCCCCACCCCAGTATACGCCCCCATAAAACATGCAGCCACAGTCCCCGTTAACGGATACCCACCGATGCCCCAATACAGGTACCCCGCAGTACCCACCGGGCAACTCATCGAATTAGACACGCCTTCAGTTTACGAAAACGGTAAATTCGAAAAGTATAAGGACGATGATAGAAATTATAGGAAGAGGCATCCAGAATCTTCTAGAAGAAACAGCACATCGAAATCTGGATTAAGTGACGTTTCACTACCGAGCTTACCGCGATCCGATACGCAACCAGCTCTCAGCAAGGCGAGAGAGGATGGCATGGGCACATACGAGAGCTGGGACTATGTATTTAGGAATTTGTCGAGCAAAGAACAAGAGGGAGACGGACGAAGTCGATTCTCACCCTCACTAGACAGAGATTCAAGGACACTTGACAGGCTAGACAGAGAGGAAAGGAGGGCCAAGTACCAGCCAACAACACTCGACCTGGAAGACGGCTTACAAGCTCTAAATCTTGACAGGTCATACGACGAGGAAGTATACCGGACTGCGAAGGTCGAGAACTTGATGAGGATGAAACAAGAACAAGAATTGAAAAGAGCGAAACAGCTAGCGAAGAAGCAAGCTGAATTAAAAGCAAAGAGATCAGTGCCAGAACCGGTCGGGAATCCTAAGGCTGAGGCGTTAGTAACACAAAAGGTGGCGCCTGACAAGGTGAAGCTACTGAGTAAGAAAGATATTAAGGACAGAAAAGAGGTCATAAAGCAGCAAAGTTCAGTCAATGGAGCCAGCAGTAATGCGGCTGAAGTCAAGAAAGTGAAGAAACCCTCGAAACTAGTCGCTGCGGAAGTGGACAAACCGAAGAGCAAGCCAGTGGAGAATGGAGTTCATAGCTCAGCACATAGTTCCAAAAGTAATCAAGGTGCGTTTCACAATCACATTCTTTAACCAGACCTAACCTTACCGCCCTAAATATGTTTTAAACTAATGAAATCTCTGTTTTCATTTCAGTACCAAATCCTAACTACGACCTAAAAGCGCAGCTGATAGTGACGTTGGACGAGACGGACCATGTGAGACGGTCTCCGCCACGACAGTCGCAGGTCAATGGGGACCGGGAGCGACCGGTGAGCAGGACGCCCAGCCAACACAATGGTGACAGGGACAGGGTGGAGGGCGCGCCCAGTGACGTGAGGCGGGGGGACAAGTGGGAGTGTGGCACGTGCACGTACCTGAACGCGGGCGGCGCCGCGGCCTGCGACATGTGCGGCAAGTCGCGGCGCGGCGCCGACATCCAGCCGCTGCGCTCCGGCGGCCGCGAGTGCCCCGCCTGTACCCTCGTCAACGAGCGAGACGCCAAGCTGTGCGACGCGTGCGGCACTAGTCTACAACATTGCCCCACCTACATATAGAATGTACGCAGATTATGGTTATGACGTCATCCATTTCGGGTTGCCAACTTACATCTAATCATTATTTAGTATCGTTTTAGTTGATATAACTGTTATTGAATGCACAATTATTATTATGATTTTCTATGGTTATTATTTGCAGCTAAATGCAGTTTGTAGTTTATTTAAATTTTAAATTATGAATTATGAAAGTTTTTGCACATTGAATGTGTTATTGCGCAGCTGTTAGAGATTTATTCGTGCGTAAAATTATTCATATCGGTATATTTACAAATCCTATAATTGGTTATTGATTAACAAGATAGGTATATCATTGTTACATGTGCGTTAGTATTACCACATTATTGCATTGTGACTGTTATGTCACTAACATTGTTTAGACAAACTGTTGTTTACAAGGAGTTGGGCCATGAAATAAGCGATTACTGAGTACGACAGTTCACAGTGATTGTACTAATTATATATTTATTTAAATGTTGATGCATTTAACGAATTCATTAAAATTACAAATGTTGCATTTTTCTAACATATTTTATTTGTCCGTTAAATGTTTGAAAATGGAATCACATTGTCGTTTGTCGTGTAATATGTCTTCAAAGTAATCGATAAATTATAATTATAGCAATAATTAGAAAATTAGAAGAATGTATGCAAAGAGGTTTTAGAGGGGTTACGGGCAGACTTAAACGACAACCGTTTGTTTCATGGCCATTTGAATATAATTTTATGTTATTATTGCTCATAAAATATGATAATTTAACTAACAGATGTATGTAATACAAGTTATTGTTATAGAACCTTTATGTGACGTAGTTACTAAATCGTTTTCTTTATATCGCTTGTGACAGGGTACCGTTGGACGTGGATAATGTGTTATACTGGAGACATACTTTAGAAATGTGACCTGACTGGATGCTACTCAATGCAGGTTAATTTGTTATTTATTTTCCTATGGACATTGTTGATCACTGTTATTAACGTACCCACGACATAAGAAACATCGTTTTGTGTAAGCTGTTATAGCTATCAAAAATTGAACAATCAAAACGCATTGCGTTTCGTTGTGTCGCGTCGCGTCTCAATAGTATGTCTCCAGCTTTATAGCACCATGGGTTACGTTTGACCACAAGATGGAGGCTGATGGTGTAACTATCTCGAAGTAAATAAATATGATTGTAATAATAGTGTTCGTTTATTCGCCTTCTATAATGCTTTAATGTTAGTCGAGATATAGATAAAAAAACGCTTTTTCGTTTTATTATTACATAATATATAATATAAATTATTGATCTGTGTATATAATTGTTAGAAATGTAAATAGTAGAACTTAAATATATTTATTTAGATGTTTGGATTTTTATTTATTTTGAACAGAAATAAGATTTAAATCATAGTGATACTAATAATGGAAAATTATAACATCATTGACGGTGCGTTTGTTATAAAGTAATATAATGTAATTTTATGATCACAGTCCAATTAATATGCACAGTGTAACGATAAAAAGTATAAATTATGCCAATGATGGAGAAGACGTAACTGCAAATGTTGAAAATTAATCACAATAGTTTGTAGCGTTCGTTGGGAGTGGTATTTATAGATAAATATAAATAGTATTTTTGCACTTACGTACTTCTTCAGGTTGGTGGTGAATTCGTCATAGATTAGGCGTTTAAAGCACTGAGGACGTGTATTTTTCTATAATAAACAGAAAGTAGATTTTCTCATACGTGATAGATTTATATAAAGAGACATTGTGCTTGATATTAATTTGCCCTCTTATTTGATCGAGTGAGACTTACGTCGGAAATTATGACAAATGCAGATAGACGACATGTAATACAATGAAAAATAAATAATATTGTTTTATGATTCCAGTGTTTCATTTTTATAAACTTGCAACGTGTTCCTATGTTTGTTTGTGCCGGCGGCCGAATCGTGAATCGTGATCATGTCACTCGATTTAAAAATAGATCTATAGGTATCTTCAACTGATTAATCATTTGTAGAATTTTGCTTTGGGACTGTGTGATCCAGAATGGCAGACTAGTTATTATTGATGCATTAATGCACATGAAATTAAAGGGGGTGCTAGTGGGGATTGAGAATATGTTCGAAGTGTTGGAACCCCTACTTTAATAAAACCTACTAGGTGACCATCAGCGGATTAAGGGGTACCAGGTTCTCTGAATAGACCACTAGAATTTCCACTATGCAAAGTCTCTGGCGGTACACAAAACTGCGATGCGACGTCGCAAGAACTTTGCGAATTAATTCGCATCGCGCATCAAAATCTTATCTTCCGAAAATCTTCTTTTTTTCTTTTTCCTGTTTCTCCTAAGCAATAACAAAAGTGCACACTTCTTTTTACTATTCATGTCACGACCTACTTTTCAATTTAAAACTGTACGTGACGGTCGTCGAGGGAATGGTCACCCAGAGAGGCGCGTTGTCACACAAAATCGCATCGCAGCAATTCATGTCGTAAATTTCTACGTTGCTAATTCGCATCGCATTGCAGTTTTGTGTACGAGCCTTTAGGCGCCACATATACACTGTGCACAGTAATTCTCCTACGAGCCTGTCGCCCCAACGATCATACCACATGCCTATCGCTAGCTTATTGCTAATCTATTTGAGTTCCAGCCCCCTGTGATGGCGATCAGTGCAGCAGTGATGTCTGTATACCTACGGTATTGAGACATGATCCCTAGCTTCTATAGACTAGAATTGCCCAGCGAGCGATGTAGAAAACTATGCTTGAGTTTCTAGAGTTTCTTTGCGCAATAAAATCCGAAATGTGTAAATTCGACAAAGAACCAATTACAGACATAGCTCTCAAAATCAGCAATCTGAAGCGGCAAGGGGCATACCACGTCGCTCGAAGGACTGATGGCCCACTACTTTCTTGGCCCGCCAGGAAAGTATTTTCTAGTGGCGACCGCGGACCGGAAGAAGTCGCATGGGCAGGCCCGTCGCCCTGCTCGGATGCAAATGAAGAGTTGTCGTTCGACGTAGAAGACGAAGGTTAATCGGTTTATGAAGGGTCAGGTGTGATGTTGGTAATAAGCTGTCCATGGTACGGAAGTTGCACCGCCACTATGAAAATGGTTCGATGGTGGCTAGGTACATACTAGCGAGTACTTCTATTGACTAGTGTGTGATGTGTGCCTAGTGTGCTGTGTGCCTATTAGTAGATGCATAACAGAAAAGCTCTTGCTAAAGAGTCGGTGGGTATAGATGATTAGAGCAAGTGTCACACCATGAACGTATGTAATCAAGATTAGACATTAAATAAAAGTCATTCATAACTCACTAATACGTTTTATTTCAAAAGACCTGACTATAACGCAAATAACGCTGACTTTTAATCACAAACTTGTTACACTTATAGTAAAGTTATATTGCACAATGGACAGGACAGGACTATTGACCGTATCCGCTTTGGTAGCTGCTCCCGTAGCCGGCCTGGCCACCACCGTAGCTGGCCTGCTGGCTGTAGCCGCTTTGACTTTGTCCTTGGCCTTGTCGCGAAGCTTGCAAACCATTTTGCATATTTCCGCCGTACATGCCTTGATTGCCTCCGAAGCTTGCCTGCCCACCGCCGCTACTGCCGCCGTACCCTGCAGCGCCAAACCCGGCTTGTTGCATCCCGGGCCTAAACCCGCTTTGGCCTTGACCGAATCCGCCTTGCATGCCCTGGCCGAATCCTTGACCAAAGCTCTGTCCGCTAAAACCGCCTCCAAAGCCTTGAGGACTACTGAAGCCCTGGGGTCCCCCGAATCCGCACCCTGGGAACAAATAAGTTGTTTCTAATATATATCATTCTTTTCATTACAGAAACATTTCAAATAGAATAGAAAGGTTCTGATTACCTATGTAATTTTGCAATGGGATGTTTCCTAATATAAAAATGAAAACTTATAAAACCGTCCGTGCTTACGAAGCAACGAAACAAAGCCTAGGAAGGAATAATAAATTAATTTCTTACCTCCGAAGCCGAACATCTCGCAGTAAGAATTTTGTTAAAAAATAAAATTACTAGATACTATAATAGATATTAATAATAGATACTATACAGTTATTTCTTATTAATTTTACTATGTTATTGTTCTAAAAAAATATTTTTATAGATTTTACGAAAAAAAATATGGTTTTATGATGAATTTTAAAATTATACTGAATCAATTTGGCCTTTGTTTTCTTATTACGAAATTTTGAATGTAGAATCAAGTTATTTTTTAGAAGATATTTTCATTTCGTTGTCAAAGGCCTGATTTGCAATGAAAAAAGGAGGATAGACTACGTCCTGATTAGAAATAGTTTGAATTCCAAAATAATTTTCAGTGCCAGTCGCAAAACGCCAGAGACAGCCCTCTAGCTAGGGGTTTTGGATTTGAATCTTGTACCTGGTACCTATTGATCTGAGTATATGAATCTCTAGATACTTACTTCAGAAAATAAAAGACGTAACTAAACGTCACTTTACATCTACGGCGAAATAAAAACAAACATACGAATAATAAATATTTAATTCTTACATTACATAAAATAAATAGCCTTAATAGTGCCCGTAACCATGGTATCCGTGGTAGCCATGTCCGTAGCCGTGGCCGTAGTGTCCGTGTTCCTTGTGTTCTTTGTAGGGCTTCTGAGTTTGGGTTTCTTCAGCAGCTTTGGCACCTTGTGTTTGACTGAAGCCTAGTTCCCCACTGGCTGAAGCCTGGGCATTGAAACTGGTTTGCTGTTCAAAACCTTGGCCAAAGATCTGGGCAAAGTCATTGTGCTGCTCCATCGGGGGAGGGGGAGGGGGAGGAGGGGTAGTGGTGGTCGTAGTTGTAGTGGTTGTTGTTGTCGTAGGCGCTTCCGTAGTTTTAGGTTTCTCCTTGTGTTCGTAATCGTGGTGTCCGTGATGGTAGTCGTGGTGGTCATGATGGTCGTGATGGTAATGGTCGTGGTGTCCATATCCTCCGTATCCTCCGTAGCCGCCGTAACCCCCGTATCCACCGTAGGGTGTGGCAGAGCCTGTTTTGAAAAATAGTTTAAATATGTTACTTTTTGTCATATCTTTGTTTTGGTTAATTATGGATTGCAGTTAATATCTTCGTCTGGGTAGATAACATTCAGGTGTATTTTTATAAGTTTTTTTTTTCTATATTCAATGGACCACTATCTCGCCTGGTGGTAAGCGATAGTGTGGCCTATGATGGAGCACGTCGTCCCATAAGCAACCTATTCACTCGGGCCTTGAAGACACCCAGTTTATACGTTTCAGGAAACACAAGACTGGCAACGTTGGTACTTAAGTATGGGTACTTTTTATTTTGATTTTAAAGTAGAGCATACACAGTACAGGAACTGCTGAGGTTTCTGGTTCGGTGCCAGGTGAGAAAATTTAGAAGACTGTTTAATTTAAATATTTAATTATAATGAGATGAATTTAAAAAATGTTAGGTGTTATAATATTACCTGATATCGCCATTGCTGCTACTAACGCTAGAGTTATGATCTGTAACAAGAAAAAGTATTGGAATGAGACAAACTTTTTAACGTCAAAAGCTTGGCGTAAATCCAAAAATAGGTGAAGTCACTCCGGTGTTTCGACATTAAATCCTTTAGCTTTTATTTCCAAAAATAAACAAAAAATCTTGCATACAAGTGAACTATAAAAGCCACAGACGTTCTCTACCAGTTTATTTTGAGATGGTATATGGAGATTCTTAATTGTTATTGTGCTCCATTACACCTACTCTGTTTTATTTTCCGTTTTGCGCGAATAGCTGTTATAATGAACAATACTAATAAACTAAAGTTGGTTTTTTTAAAGTACCTAAGGAATGACTATTATATTATGGAGGAATGACTATTTTTGATTAGATTTAGATTAAAGTGTTAAAATTTTTTGTTAAAGCATTTGATATAAATAAATAAATTAGGTAAACCATTTACAAATATAACTTAATGCAATCTTCTTCGAATGATTACATAAAAACGACCGACAAGGGCATTGCAGAAAAATATATTATTAATAAAACTTTTTCAAACCAAGTTTCCAAACAACACCTTCACTAAAAATTAAAAAAATTCGTTGTCCAATTTAACAAAAAAAAAAAACAAAAAAATTGAACTTAGAAGATCCACATATCCATACGTAGCACAGCTTAAAAATACTTACTGCGAACTTAGCCATGATTTATTTTTAAAATAAAAAAAAGTAGTTCACAATGTTAACGACACAAACTTGTACACCGACTATATTCTGTGGCAGATGAACAAGTCTTATATACTCGGTTAGGGTCCAAGCGAACAAGTACTAAAACATCTCATCGCCTGGCCCCGTACAAGTTCATACCTAACAACCTCACTGACTAGTGTTGTAGGTTGACATTAAATCGGACGATTGATTAAACGTCTGTTTTTATCTTTCTTTTATGTAGCTATATTCAAATTCAGGACATGTGTGAGAGTGACCACCATGTTTAGGCAAACGTGGCCCTTCAGCTATGTACTAGACAGGTGGAGTGTTGATATCTGGAAAGTAGCTGGAAGTGGTTAGATGGATAGAGTCTCCATTCGAAACAACACTTTGGAACGAGCGCCTAGCTTCACTGACAGACAGACGGACGGATAATAGGGATGATGACAGGGTATGAAAATAAAAAATGTAATTAGTCAGGTAATGAAAAAATATTAGACACGTATTTTTTATTTTGTCGTATAAGAAAACAATACTTATAAAACGAATAAAGTTTAGGAGTGAGAGGTAGCTACGTCAATTTATAATAGAGTATAAATCGTACTCAAAGGTGACGTCATGTGATATTGATATTTGAAATCAATATATCTCTCGAAATTAATATTCGTTTTCGTAAGAAAATTAAAAATACGCGTCTAATGTTTTTTAAAAATCTACCAGACGGACATTAAAATAAAAATGAGTCAATTACCCTATTCAATTTAATTTCAGAAGTGCCTATTTAAGGATTAATTAAAATAAATGCTTTGACTTTGATATAAAGTGCTGAAAATGAGTTCAGTGGCGTGTTATTGGAGAGACCTGTTTAGCAGAAGACAGAAATAGGTGTGTAATGACGATCATTCAAATAATAATAATGTCTATTGCACATTTTTGAAATTTGAGAGCTAAACAAATTAACTTAGTATCATGTAGGTATTGTGAACTTTTAGTTCAGATTTCCTAAGCAATCCGACGTGTCGAAGATTAATACCCCTACATAGTAGTAGTATTAATGTTTTTGTGCAAATTTCTTTTGTGAAACCACCAAACGACACAATTCAAACAGTCCATTGACTCCATTGACATTAGCTTAATTTTTACTTGAGTAATGTCACATAAATTACACTTGATTGCATATTAATCACGTTTAGGTGATGACTATAATGCAATGCAGTCATTACATCCTAACAGGGCATTATACGATGATTAATTTATGACATTGCACGCGGTGGTAGTTATGGTAGTCCGCCAAACAATAAGGGGTTCAAAGGCCGCAAGCAACAATGTGACTTTTTCCAAGTTATATATACTTTCTAAGATTATTTAGACGTACAGAGATGTACGTGGTGATTGTTCCTTCCTTCTCCGTGTAAGGAGAGGCTTTGGTCTCCCAGTCGGTCAGTCACAAACTGTTCATGACGCGGTATAGTAATTGACTACAACGTCGAAATTATAACTTGCTTTGTAACATACGTCTGTGGACACATTGGTTCAGGTTATGTTAATATATCTACTTATACATAAAATGTGTATCTAGCAGAAATACGAGTTCTCCAAGTATATTACATACAGACAGTTTTGTGTTGTGGTGAATAAATCAACAAAAACTTGGATGGCTACTTTTATTTTCATTATTTTTTAATGACAATTATGAATGACACATGTTTTATATTAATGTCGCGTGACTATTGGACTTGAACACCATGTTTCGATAAGATTATAGGCCAAATAATTTTTGTAGACATTGTTTTTATCTTGAAAATTAAACAAAATGTGCGTTTTAAATATTATTTGTAGTATGACAAGGGTATTAAAATTGGCGAAAAGTAGACATACCTCTTTTCGAGGAAAAATAGCTGGGATATTATTTTCAAAAGGCGTAGATTCAAAATACCTACTTATTCGGTAAATAAGAATCGAGTTTTTCTTCGGTAATAACTCCTTGCATAAAATACTTCGTATAAACGGTTTAGCTGCTTTATTTTTTGCACTCAATTTTGTATCCTATAATAGGGCTGACATTTTCCTCTAAGGGAAAAAGCCCTTCTTATTAATTAAATAAAAATTAATTTCTTTTCATACACGATACATAGATAGATTACTAAAAAAATAATTCCCTAGGAACTCTCACGTAACTTCAATTTCTCCCTTATTCCTGCAACATGAAATTTTGAGATTACTGACAAACGACAAAGTTTATCAACGTCAGTAGCTTTTTTCAAGGAAGGATAAAGTTTAAGGAAAATGTTAAATTAAGAGAGTAATGTTGCCATAAGTCGGAAATAACTGTAAAATTCTATATAAAGATGCACTTAGATTATCAAGTACTTAGGATACAAACTCGATCTACCACTGGGATAAACCCTAGTACTAAGAGGAGAGGAAAAACAAAACTTTGGGGTTCCGTACCCAAAGGGTAAAAACGGGATACTTATTACTAAGACTCCGTTGTTTATCTATCCGTCCATATGACTTTCACCAGACTGTATCTCATGGACCGTAGACACTGTTGTGGTCAGATGATGTATATATCTGTTGGACTGTTGCAGCTATAACAGGTAGTAATATAATAATAAAAAAAAATAAACTCTTATTTTAACTCCCATATAACTAAGTTTATTTAAATGACGATTCATTATCTATTGAATAATTTATTCATTTATTTATCAAGGACAACAAACGGCGGTTTATTAAATATAACATGAATGAATAAAATAATAGATATAACAAATACACTCCCCATGACGTTGCCATATTATAAATAATACGTTGCCATAGAATAATTGAACGAATGATACGGAACCCTTCATGGGCGACACCGATTTGTACTTTGTCAGTTTTTTAATTCTTTTGCATTAATGACTATGCGGGCACAGCAGTTTGTTGACTTGTTTTACTCGTTCTATTAATAGACACATTCCTTGCAAGTTGGTAAAAGGTAAAAAATCTTCAAGTTACAGGTTTGTTTACAAGTAAGAAACCTATCTAGGTTTATATATCTATCTAGGTGCATCTGCACTAGTTATTTAAGTCCTTTTTTGTATAAAGATATTGGCCCACGCTAGCATTTTCTTCTATGTCGTGGTGGTTGCGTTTACAAACATTACTAAATTCACATGGCACCTAGACACGGACCAACAATTTGTGGATAATTTAAAGAAGTTGTTCTGTGCGGATCGAACCCGCGACACGTTGCGCAGCAGCTACTGTGTCAACCACAGAACATATAATTATATACTCTTTGGTTTCAATCATTCAGTCAAATTTAACTGTAATTTTAATTTATTAAATTAACTCGTCGAGTACCGGTTTTGTAGACACAATTATAGAACAATAGGTTGCGGTCACGACCGCTTAGTGTTTGACAGTTTAATTACCGGGTAAGATCTAGTCTTGGTCTTAAAATATTGGTTTTTAGGTATTAGTTTTTATTAAATATTGTTTATCACATGTATTATTATATTTATTTATGTACGGCTACGTAGTACCGACCTATCTACGCAGGATTATTTTCCTTCGGGTCTTTCCCCTACTTAAGTTTTTCCTTATTATAATGCTTAAAGCCAATAAAATAAACTTACTAATAAAAATAAATATATTATAAATATTCTCAATGGAATTACGTCAGGAAATAATTAATTATGCATTTAAGTATACATAACTACGTACGTAAAAGACCTACACTCTTGCAATGTCAATTTTTAACTAAAAAAGCAGTTTTGACCGTATTATTTATCAATTTAGAGAATGTATTAATGAATCTAAATAATTAGTATGTTTGATTAGAGATTACAAGGATGTCTTGTGATTATAAAATGGTTATAAGTTTGAGTTGTATTGTCAGACCGTATGCAGTTAGGTTGCCGCGGAGAACCTAACGGGTTGCCGGGGCTCCGGCTCGAAGTGCACGAGTAGGAACGGGGTGGTTTTTAGTCAGTAAGAGTCTGACACTCCCTCCCGTCTCACCCAAACGAGTGAAGTCATTCGATGATTTTCCCCATTAAAAAAAATGTAGTTCGGTTGGAGTAGTCGTCTTCTTAAGTGTAGGAGAGCCATGCTTAGGCACGAACGGGCCGGCTCCACCGGAGTGATACCACGGCCTAAAAAAAAACTGACTTGAAACAACGCTTTCGTTTTGATGTGTCGTGTGAGTGAGGTTACTGGAGGCTCAATTACTCCTCCCCCTCTTTCCCAATTCCTGAATCCCCAACAATCTTCAAATGCCAAATACCAAAAAGCCGGTAACGCACTTATAACGCCTCTGGTGTTCCAGGTGTCCATGGGCGACGCCAATTGCTTACCATCAGGAGATCCGCCTGATCGTTTACCAGCTTATCCCATAAAAAGGCTTTGACTGCAATTAGAAAACTGTTGAAGGCAAATCCACCGCTAACGTAGGTCACGGTGACCCCCGTGGCGTTTGATGTGTTAATGTAGTCTACACAACATGTGTGTAGCCTTTGAGAGTTCGCAACAGGACTACGACTATAATATTACTACTCTACATCAGAGGATGCGCATGCCTCATTATATTCTACACTTTATTTAGCAGTGAACATATATTAGCCGGACCGGTGGTGATGACAGTTTTGATTCGAATGGACGAGTATAACTATACTGCCCGGACAACTGCCCGTTACATGAATTTTGTGTTCAGAATATTGGAAACCACGGTGTACAGGTTTACAGAAGAAAATGCCTATGAAGTTTGTGCTCGGGAAACTAGAAACCACAGTGCACGGGTGTAAGAAAGTTCTTATCTCTTGGTTTTTCCACTGCGATGTTCTTGGTGAAAGTATTGCCAAGTTATTTATTATGGTCCGATAAGATTTTCCTCTAAATATGAACTAGTAGCTCGTTTTGGTTTTACTTGGGTGCTTCTCATTGAGTTGCTTTAGGTATACCCAAATGTTTTGACTTTGACTTTTCCTAGGGAATGCCTAATTTTTTGGACCTAGAATCAATGTTAGTATTAAAATTTATTATTTACATATGTATGTATTTATAGTATTTTAAGTTAAAATTGTATTACACATTATTGTATTCTGTACCTATTGTATTTTAATATGGGTCTTCGTTGCCTGATACAAATAAATAAATAATTAAAAAAAGTAGACCTTATCCCGAAAATATAGATTACTAAACATGATTCAGTTTGGTGTGATCTTTTGAGACTGACAATTGTTGAATATATTATTTAGTTATAAAAATTCAAAACAGAAGCAGTTAATATGATGTGAAGAAGGTGCTAAAAGATAAAAGGTGTGATGTTATGTGATTTAATTACTTATAAATAAAACATCAATTTTGTTAAATTGATAAGTTTATAAACAATTCTATATTTACATACAAAACTCAGTCGTATCTTAAAAGAAATAAATATTAAACTACTATAACTGTATTGAGCATTTTTCATTATTTACTTACATAGCTGCCTCATTGGCCAAGTGGTTGCAAGTGAAACTGCCGGGCAAAGGGCCGATCGGGCAAATATTACTAGGTTTAAAAAATCTCAGTAATAGCTCGGAGTCTGGAATTGTGCCCACTATTCACTATCTGTGTTACGAGTCCCATGTAATAGGGGGTGAGCCTATTGCCATATACCGAAAACATTTCCGGACTCCGTGCTACTACTGAGTTTTTTTTAACCCAGTAATACTTTGCCTTACCCGGGAGTCGAACCTGAGACCCCTTGCCCGGCAGTCGGACTTGCAACCACTCAGCCATCGAGGCAGTCAGTACATAATTTTACTTGTTTAATTGTGTCTATAATGGCGGTACTCAACGAGTTAAATTACTTAACTATACCTTCTAGAATCATAACTTTTTCTCATATTCATACTGCGTCGATTATTATTTTCTGGATACTTATAATAGGGGTAGTAAGCCCCTAGTTTTCGATTATAAATGAGATATGGGGGCATCCCATAGCCGCTGTAACTCGCCTTCCCCCAACTTCGACCATAGGTGCTTCTCTTTGCTTTATTGTGGTACTTCTCGATGTGATCATAATGTCGTTTGGATAATTTGGACGAGTGCTTCTTGGTCTTTTTAGCTTCTGCTACGCTGGCTGATAAGATGGCGATGATCACTGTGAAGATTATAATCTGAAACACATACAAATAGAAACTGTAATATCATAAGATAACATCATTCCTTTTATTCCCGAAGGGGTAGGCAGAGGTGCACATTACGGCACTTAATGCCACTGTACAATGTATTACCTACTTTTCACTATTTATGTTATGAGTCCCATGTAATAGGGGTTAAGCCAATTGCCGTACCTATACCAGTAGCAATTCCAGACTCCATACTACCACTGAGAATCGAACTGATTCGGGAATCGAACCCAAAGCCCCTTGCCCAGCTACTACTTGCGACAACTCGGCCAGCGAGGCAGTATAACTGAACAGAAACTGTTTTATACTTCTTTTAACGAATTATTTTAACAAGATTTCTTCATTGGTCGTTTGTCAAGCGGTCGGAGATGTTAACGAGTGGTCGCAAACGGAACATGCAAATAACGCCTGTCAGTCTGTCACAGACACAGATGCTCGCATGACACATGCATAAGAATAGATAGAATGTAGTTATAGTGATCAACCGGTTTTAGGACTGAGAAAATGTAGTAGGTATATCAAAAACTAAAGTATTACAAGATTAGGTTTAGATTAGGTACACACGGCCACGCATCAATCTATACAAAACCAGTTTATCCTGGTATCGCGTCGCATCATCTTTCCGCACATTTAACGTTCAGTTTATACTGGTTATGTAAAGCTCGATGTGTAGCCGCGTGTACCTATGTCGATGACGAAAACCAATCAATGCTGATCACAAACATTTGTGTGTTTGATCATTTTTTATCGTGGGTAGGAATACTCAAAAATATAATTTTCGTTAAATTGAATTTTGGGCTTTATCCAGAGCTTTAGTTACTAAAAAAACTACCATTTTTTTAAATATAGGAACCAGGTCTGCCTTAGAATGAGCCATGCAGTATAGTCTGCCATAACTGGCATGTCTGCACGTTATTGGGTTCAAAATTAGAGACTCAAAACCGGGTGGTTTAAAAACACAGGGTGTCAAATTGCATTCACATCATAAAGAAACCTTTAACTCTGATAGGCGACAAAATGTCACGGACCCCCAGCTGGCAGGTTTCCCATTGAGTGGTTTTGGTCTGACCATCTTTATTTTTATTGGGAACGGGGGGTCCATCCGATGCCACGGGCTCCGAATACGCCACTGGCTACTAGCAAACAATAGGTCGATTGTAAATACAGAACATTGTGAATCCTCCCACAAACAGGTAAATCTATTAACAAAAATATGAAAGCAAAATGCTATGATCTAATAACATAATACTCTATCAAATTGAACAAGTTTAAAAAATCCAGTTTATGACAAGTAATTTTTGAAATAAGGAAAATTCTTACCTTTATTAAAACACGTTTGAAGTTATCCATGTTCTTTTTTATTTTTTTTTAATTTTAATTTTAGTGCCACTAGCAATGATCGCAGTACATGACTGATATGATTCGTCTCATGTAAAGTCTTATGTAGCGACATGCCTTGAACTTGACTTTCTTTTTTATACCCATTATAATAGAAATGGGTTATATTCTTCGCAGAAGCGATAGAGTAGACTTATTTGTTATTTTTTTGTTATTGTTAATAAAATGCTGTTTGGAAGATCGAAATCCAGTTCCAGTCAATAGGATAGGGTTATTTTTTTAATGGGGCTAGCCCGCCACAGCCTCTCCATCATCCCCAAACACCTGCAACTCCTGTAAGCCAGTATCTACAGTAGGATATAACCATAAAAATACCGGAACACTAAAGTTCGGCTAGGATAGTGTTATGCTAGATTTCTGTTGAAAAGAGGAATATAATTTATACTATGCTCATTTCTTATGAATGGTTTGATATACGCAATAGTGGACACAATTAAACCAGACTACTTTCAAGGAATTAATAGGGTCATAATTTAGCGAATCCCGGTCAGACTTCAATCTGAAAGGTTAGTCAATGACTAGGAAAATGAAATATAGAATGAATGTCTTGATATAATGCACGATGAACGCAACCGGTTACAGTACAACGTCTTGCAGGTTTGATTGGGTTTGACTCCTGCACGCAACATTTGTTTATTTTTTCTTTTTTTAAAACGTTGCCCGACATGAGGTTTTTCTCCTGTGTCGTGGGTGCGTTTACAAACATACAAGTTCAAATACACAATGACACCCAGACCCGGGACAACAATATGTGGATCACAGAAAGTGTTGTTCCGTGCGGGAATCGAACCAGCGACACGTTGCACGGCAGCCGGTTGCCCAGCCACCGCACTAACCGTGCAGTCAATCAGTTTGTGATTGTAGTACACAAGTTGTTGTTTTAAGATAATGTGAAAGATATTTTTATGTCACCCACACTTTTAAAATGGCACTAAAATATTAAAACGCCAGGTTCTGTAGCTTACAGACACACACGACGAATAAAATCAACACAAAAAGTATTTTAGTAACAACAGCAACTCCACGGTTACTGTCATAGCAATGTCCTTTGCTCAGTCAATTAGCATACATGTGTGTATCATGACTGACATACTGACTGACTAAACTGAACACTTTACTGACATCATTATTTAGATAAACATTCAATGTAGGTACTCTCACTTTGGTCTCGTATCGATCGATGTTAAGAAGTATTTGTCAAGTACTATTGAGTTTGACTCATGATCCACTTGATGATAAACATAGGCTTATATCACCCACGCCTTCGTCCCATGGAGATCGATTTTTAAATACTTCTTTAGCTTATACAGGGTGGTCCAAAAGTCGTGGATCAAACCCAACTAGGGGTTAGATGCAAAAAGTTGTTCTACGGGAGTTCCTTAAGGTCAATCCCTGCAGAGTTATAATTTATTTTGTGTTTTATGAGAAAAAATACTTTTCCTTACTGATTCTTTTTAAAATTGTAAAAAATCTACATTCTGTATCTTTTTTATAATTTCCACTAGATTGGTACTGATGAGTCCTTGCTTTAGACATGCTATTTATGGTTGTTTATTGGGTGTGTTGAAGATAATAATAATATTAAGTTTTACGATTTTTATTTTCCTCAAATCATAACCTTATATTTATTTTGGACCCCATTGTGAAAAAAATACTCTACCGTAAAGTAACCCTGTATTACAAGTTTTGGCTCATTTAATAGGGACTTTGAAAAGGTATTACACAGGGACTGAAAACGGTAAAGGTATAAGGGTATGGTACCGGTATAGCATTACGATACAGTTTTGATTTAGGGGTAGACCCAAAAAGGTAGAGAATAACGGTTGTGGTACCGTTAAAAAAATATTATACCTGTATTATTTTACGGTATCGTTTATACCCTTATATTACTAGTACCTTAACCGAAATAATTTCGGTACCGAAAAAAATCTATGATAGCATCGAGCTGACAACGTCGTTCGTAATTCCTTAACTCGCGCCACCCGGGCACCGTGTTCGCTCTCGCTCTCACCTCTGCAGTGCAGCGCAAGCGGCGAGTAGCGACGCGACGTTATCAGCTCAAACGAAAATCGTGTCGAGTTGTTCGCGGTCTCAGTCAGTCAGTTGTATTTGAAATAGGTATCTGAGCGAACGCATTCAAGTTATCATTATCACCATTCACTTTACCTCTATAATTATTTATTATAGATTAAGACACTATTGCTAAAGCTGAAACACTACGGCATTCGGGGGACGTCGCTAAATCTGTTGAAATCATACCTTCAGGATAGGCAACTTAAAGTGCAAGTAAATAAAGTAAATTCACAGGGTGCTTGCATATCTATGGGTGTACCGCAGGGCTCGATACTAGGTCCATTCTTATTTTTAGTGTACATAAATGACTTGCCCCATTTATTTAAAAATGAACCGCAGATGGTATTATTTGCTGATGACACTTCATTAGTTTTTAAAATAATTAGACGCACAAATAATTATGACGACGTAAATAATGCCCTAATGAAAGTTCAAAATTGGTTTACATTAAATAACTTAGTACTAAACAATAAAAAGACAAAATGTATTAAATTTGGTTTGCCAAATGTTAAAAGCAACGAATGTCACATTTTATTGAATGGTGAGAAATTAGAGTTTGTAAAAGAGACAACTTTCCTGGGAATTACTGTAGACGACAAATTGCAATGGGGTCTCCCTCACATTACATCATTAGCGGGACGAATGAGCTCTGCAGCTTATGCTGTCTGGAAGATACGACAGTTACAGTCTACCGTGGGAGAGCCATGCTTCGGCACGAATGGGCCGGCTCGACCGGAGTAATACCACGGCCTCACAGAAAACCGGTGTGAAACAGCGCTTGCGCTGTGTTTCACCGAGTGAGTGAGGGTACCGGAGGCCCAACCCCCCCCCTCATAATGGCGCAGTTGATACAAGAGTTTGTACCCCAGGAGGGTACCAACTGCGTTGGAGAATCCCTCTCTGGACGTCCATTTTCAGAACTCAACTACCCTGAGCGTGGACGTCCAGGCCGCCCCACATCGTACTCTGGGGGGGGCAAAACTGCGCATCATAAAGCTGGAGGCAAGAGCAGAATAACCATGGCACCCCTTGCCACGCTGAATGTGGACTTCTGCAACATAAGGGGATTACACACCAACCTCAATGCTGTCCATCACCACCTAGAGACAGCAAAGCCGGCCTTGCTCTTTTTGACTGAGACGCAGATATCGTCTCCGTTGGACACATCCTACCTCACCTACCCTGGGTATGGACTGGAACATTCCTTCCTGCCTAGGGCCGGGGTGTGCGTGTACATCAGGGACGATATCAGCTCACGTCGCCTCAGTAATCTTGAAGGTAGGGACCTGTCCACCTTATGGCTGCGTGTAGATAACGACGACCACCCCCGTGTCTACGCGTGCCTATATAGGTCCCATAGCGGTGATAGCGAGACTGACCGACTCATGGACCACATCCAGACGGCTGTAGATCTTGTGCAGGGGCAGATATCCTCAGCGGAAGTGGTCTTGCTTGGCGACTTCAACGCCCATCACGCCGACTGGCTCTGCTCCAGTAAGACTGACCACGCGGGGAGATCTGTCCACGACTTGGCTCTTGCTTCTGGCCTAACACAACTGGTGACCGTGCCCACGCGAATCCCGGATGTGGAAGGCCAGAGGTCTTCACTGTTGGACCTTCTGCTGACCTCTCACCCGGACGGCTACAGCGTATCCGTCGAAGCCCCTCTTGGCTCATCGGATCATTGCCTTGTCCGGAGCTCTGTATCTTGGACGTGCACACCGCGACTACAAGAGGTACGCGGTCGCCGTGTATGGCACTATAGGTCGGCAGATTGGGATGGGATGCGGTCCTTTTTTGCATCCTACCCTTGGAGGCGGGCTTGCTTCTTGCAGGATGATCCCAACGCCGCTGCCAATTCTGTTGCTGATGTGGTGCTGCAGGGGATGGAGCTTTTCGTCCCATCTTCTCTGGTCCCCGTCGGTGGCAGATATCGGCCCTGGTTTGATGCTTCTACCAGAAAGGCCTCACGCAGAAAGCAGGAGGCCTACCAAGCCTGGGTCGATGCGGCGGTGGCACGGGATGTAAATACCAGTGCACTAAAAAAGGAGTATAACTTTGCCTCCAAGTCCTTCAAAAGAGCTATTGCGGGTGCCAAGTCGCAGCACATCGGTAGAATTGGTGAGAGGCTGGAGCGCCTTCCTTCAGGAACTCGTTCATTCTGGTCGCTCGCCAAAGCTATCGAGGGCAATTTCTGCAGGCCGTCATTTCCACCTCTGCACATGGGTGAGGATTCGTTGGCTCATAACGCAAGGGATAAGGCTCAACTTTTGGCAAAAATCTTTGCATCCAACTCGACACTGGATGACGGTGGGCGCGAGCCTCCTGTTGTGCCTTGGTGCGGAAGGTATATGCCGGATGTGCGGTTCCACCAGCGCACGGTACGTTTGGCGCTTTTATCCCTTGACGTCCATAAGTCGAGCGGGCCTGATGGGATCCCACCCATTGTTTTGAAGATGTGCGCCCCCGAGTTGGCCCCAGTTCTCACACGTCTTTTTCGGCTCTCTTATTCCTCAGGCGTAGTTCCGACGTCCTGGAAGACAGCTTTAGTCCACCCAATCCCTAAAAAAGGTGATCGATCTAACCCGTCTAACTACAGACCGATAGCCATAACTTCCCTCTTCTCGAAAATAATGGAGTCCATTATTAACTGCCAGCTCCTGCGTTACTTAGAGGATCATCAGCTGCTCAGTGACCAGCAATACGGTTTTCGTAAAGGTCGGTCTGCTGGTGATCTCCTTGTTTACCTAACGCATCGGTGGGCACAGGCGATCGAGTCTAAGGGGGAAGCGTTGGCAGTAAGTTTAGACGTGGCGAAGGCCTTCGATCGGGTTTGGCATAGAGCGCTTCTTTCGAAGCTTCCTTCCTACGGACTTCCCGAGAAATTATGCAAATGGGTCTCCTACTTCCTTGCAGACAGAAGCATTAAAGTCGTCGTCGACGGTGAATGCTCTGACTTGATGTCTGTAAACGCAGGTGTCCCTCAAGGCTGCGTGCTATCGCCTACATTGTCATTGACATCCTCCATGTCAATGACATGCTGCAAATCAGCGGCATTCATTGTTATGCGGATGACAGCACAGGCGATGCCTACTACACCGGCCGCGCTAACATTTCTCGTCATACGAAGAAAACGTCATAGAGAGCCGAAACAGACTCGTGTCTGAAATCGAGACCTCTTTAGAGAGAATCTCTGATTGGGGTGGACTTAATTTGGTCCAGTTTAACCCCACTAAGACACAAGTCTGCGAGTTTACCGCTAAGAAACTGCCGTTGGTCGTCTCTCCTCAGTTTCAAAGCACCCCCCTAACTGCCTCAGCCGGTATTGGAATACTTGGTGTCAACATTTCGAGCGACGTCCAGTTTTGCGGTAATTAACCCTGTAATTAACTTAATATTAAATTAGACTATTAGAATGCATTTGCGTCAGCTTGGAGTTGTCATGCTCACTCAAAGGTCTCATTGGCGGTGGCGCGTGCAGTGGATCGCTCGATTTCCTACAATATGGTTGAGTTGGGCGGTGCTGGTGCACGTGTCATGTTCGTGAACGGGTGCCGTCAACTGGGACTGGTCAGCTCCAGACTATATTATTTATTGTCTTTAATGTTATTTCCTTTTTCGATCACTTTGACTGGATTTTGTGTGTTACATAGTTCTCGCACAATCCAAACAGCAAAACTATGTAACTAGAGAATTGTATTGTGAACCTGATTGAAAAAAAGTAACCTATGGAGTTTCTTACTCGTTCTTCTCCATAGGAATCTGCACTTTGGAATGAGCAAATAGCTTCACTTTTAATTTTATTGTTGACGTTTAAAAGTGCCTTTCTGGTCTAATTGAAATAAATGATTTTGACTTTGATTTTGACTTTACCCTACTCTAATCTACTATACCTTACTCTACCTTACTCCACCCTAGCCTATCCTACTCTACTAAACTAAACCGTCCCTTGAGTAACCAAAACTAAAATCAAAATAAGTCATACGTTCAGCCGTTCTCAAGTTTTAGTGAGACTAACGATAAGCAATTCATTTTCTATATATATAAGAAGATTGAAAGTTTACGATAAATTAGGTTTATTCCTAACGTGACCCTAAAACCCAACCCGGTTGCGGGTTATGTTAGGTGGGTCTTTGTCGGCGAGCCGCCGCCATGTATTATGCCCACGCGGCGCTCATATCTACCTACTGCTTAGGGGTTTGTATTGACATACATCTACATAAGTACCTACTTACTTTTATCCATCTTGGCGACAATCTAGTAGTATTTTGTTTGAACAAAAACTGCTCACAACACACGCGTATACACAGACGATAAAACAAAACGCCGAACGCCAAAACAATCCACGTGGCACGAATGTCAGTAAAATAATATTTTTGAACAAGTACTTACCATTGCATGCCTCAACTAGCGGGGGCGGCAGGGTTACAAAGAAAACCTCAATTTTATTATTTAAATATCTAAAAAAAATAATGATACCGCAATATTACGATACCAATATAAACCGGTACCGTTTTTTTAAGGTATCGAAATTTAAAGGTATGACGTCATACCGCTAACCGTTTTAACCAGTATTTTTTCGGTTATTCAGTCCCTGGATTACACATGGCCATGAGTGGCTCGAATACCTTTCTAGGACTTTCTAGCTTTTGTGTTTTTCCAGACAATGACCTACTCCTGTTCCACATTACCTTCTGATCCCTTCAGTCCAAAGTTTGTATGCTAGTTTTAAACATATCTTTCGCATTCACAATATTAGTAGGATATATGACATATGCAGACACCTAGTCATTATACAAACATGATGCCGGTTAAGGTTTCCTGCATCTGCAGGTATTCTGTATTGTATTATAACTTTCGTGAGACATACTAAATAAATTATTATGTTTTCGGCTAACACACGCAATTATTTGACGAGGAACTCGACTAGTCAGCCGCGTCGCAGGTCGCGAAATCCTGCTCATGAATATGAGCCTCTAGCATGGCTTGAAACTAGTCGAGTACTCGTCAAATAATGGCGTGAGTAAGCCGAAAACATAATAATGTATTGTGTATGTTCCAGAACGAAATTTTGATAGAAAAAGTAATCGTTTGAAAACTTTACAGAGTAGATATCGAAAAGAAATTAGAATAATTAAAAACTTAACGAAATATTGTTTCAGAAAACAGTGATAGGCCACCAAAGTTTTGTCTAGTATCTCTTCTATGATGCCTACTTCACTAAACACCAATATATGACTCTGTTTACTCCTTGGGGAAATTACAGGCGTGATGTAGGTTACGTAACTTTGATCATTACAGATGTTACACAATAATGTAAATCTACTTAAATGACAATTCTAGATCATTAAAAACCTATTCCTAAATATTACACAATTTTAAACAATGGGGCTTAATAAATTAGTTCATTAGTATATGTATTTTTGCAATTACTAATTATAAAATATACTATAAAACTATCATAGACCAGATCAGAAGGCCAGTTGGAAGCTACCATCGAATTAAATTACAGATACCGATATCAGTCCCAGTTTAAAAATCACAATGCAGTTTAAATTATTTATATTATTGGTAAGTAAATGTTTTAGTAAATAATTTGCTCGCATGACTGCAGTGAGGATTGCAAAACAAGGGGTCTTTGGTTAGATTTTCGAATCGAACCGAGTAATTATTACTGATTTGCGATTCTCTTAGTAATATCAAATTGTGTCTTGTTTACGTGTTACAATTTTGTCATGCGCTTTGCGCACCTCTGCCAATTTTTTTTTTATTATGTGAGATTTGACAAAACTGTTATTAATTGGGGTAGTCCAAAAGTTACTTTACTTAGAATTTATTTGGTTATAGACTCGTCTTTAAACCATCTATACAGATAAATAAAAAACAGTGTCTGTTTGTATTAAAATAACCGCTTTTTACTACATGCATAATTAATATACCTATATACATAAGATACACATACAAAAATAATATTTTTACTACTTTGTTTGTCTGTCTGTTTGCACTGGCTAATCTTTGGAATGGCTCGATCAATCTTGCTTTTATTAGCAGGTAGCTGATGGACTAAGGAGTAACATAGGTTACTTTTATTTTAGGAAATAGAAAAATTGTTCTTAATTTCATATTCTACGCGGACGAAGTCGCGGGCATCAGTTACGGTGCAATAAAATTCATCTAAGCAAACTGTTTTAATCAAGGAAAAGTAAGCATGTTACAACTCTATATCATTCCCAGGTTGCTTGCTGCTCCAGCTTAGTGCCTTCGGCGCTGGCCTTCCACTTATTGGCAGCGAAAGCAGCAGCAAAGGATGCAGCTCATGAGATCTTAGCAATAGGCAAAGAGACATTGGCTGCTAAAAAAGCAGTGCTTGCGAAAGCGGCTGCTGACATGATCTCTGTTATCGCACAGGGCATTGGAGCTAAGAGTGAGTTTTTAATTTTTTTATAATATTCTTTTTTAAATGTTTTTTTTATTTGATTCGATATGCTCTAAATCATTTTACTGACTGCCGTAGTCAGAGACGTGTTTTTTGTACCGATTTTGTTACGAAAACAATTGCATGAAAAGATTGATGACTGCCGTTAAAGCGAAAGAGGTATGTAGGAATCGTAGTAATTGGCGTTCCATAGTATCTGCCAACCCCCATGGGAGACAGGCGTGAAGTTATGTATGTATGTATGTATGTACAATTGCTAAAGACTGA